GAAAACTTGAATATTTCTATTGTGAAATAAGGGACCAGTCATAATTTAAGTTGGAGGGGGGGGTTGGAGGAGAAATTGGGGGGCCTTCAATTTTTTTTGGATGGAATATGGGGGGCCTTAAAATGCCAAAAGATGACCTTGGGGGGGTCTTCAAGTTTCTTTTAAGTAGCATCCCTACTGAGCAGCATGATGTTTGAGTATTAAGGGACCTGATTTTGATTCAGTTTTACACAAAGTCCTATATTGTGTAATACTAAAACAATTTAATCAGCATTTTGACAAAAAGATTTAATGCTCAAATAGTAGGTACATCAACACAACATCCATTATTGTGTAACACTGAAACAATTTCATCAGCATTTTAACAAATGATTACATGCATAAAGTCATGTTATGCAATCTCACTATCCGAATCATTATTTGTAGATGAGGTTGATGTGGACTCACTGTCTGTGTCACCGTCAAGTTTTTTGCTATTAGAGCATGTACTGCTCATATAAAAAGCAGTAAGCTTTGGCTGATTATCTTCTTTCTTCCTTGAAGCGGTCCTGTCGGCCTCTCACCTTTCGATGGCTTGTCTTATCTCAATTATAACACAATCACTGATATATCCTTGCTCTATAAGCTGTTTGAGAGGCTCTAGGTGAAATCTCTTTCTCAGTTTAGTGTGAAGTGCTTCTCTGTTGTTAGTTGGCACATTCGGAAGTGACAGTGAGTAAGAATGGTAAAGTAAAGAAAATGTTATTTGTTATTACCATTTGGGTATTATGTATAAGAAAGGGGGGCCCTTAAATCTTTTAACATGATTGAAGGGGGGGTACCTAAAAAACATGGCTGCCATTAGTGGGGGTCTGGAAAAAATTTGGAATAAAAAACAATTTCTCCTCCACTCCCCCCTCCAACTTAAATTATGACTGGTCCCTAACTTGTTTCCCTAATTTATCCCAGATTCGATCAACATATTTAGTAACAATCAATTCGACGCCAAGTGCTACCCACTTTCCGAGCAAAAGCTTGGTCTGAGAACTTTTTTGGGTTACATCATGTTCGCTCTTCACTAGCCTGCGTAACATAGCGGTTTTGTCGGGTGCACGACTGAGCGGCGAAGCTGCAAAACCGCACTCGAAGCGCGCGCGAACTGCTCCCGCCCCAATCTCCTCGCGGTTTCTCTGCCCTTGCCCGTCTGAGTATTTAGCGCGCCCAACCAAAACCGCCATGCTATGCAGGCTAGCTCCTCAGATAAATGATCACACTGAGTACTGTCGAAAAACAAGAAAAAAGAACTCTGAAAAAAACTTTTTTGGGAAACAAGTTCTACTTACCTGTAGAATGTACATGTAGTGTGGTTTTGTCATAGACTGATTGTGCTCAGCTATAGCGTGGCCCAATGTCTCCGTAGACAGACGCGTATACAATGTATATCAAACCGTAAAGTGCAAATTAGGAAAGAAGCCTGAATAATCTTCTCTGTGTGTTGTGGTAATTTTCCAAGCTATTGCTACAGAGCTTTGTTCGCGGCTTACAGTTTGAAGCGTTTACGAAAGCGATTGAAGCGATTACGAAATGGCCATAAACTGATTTCATATCATGAGACTGAGTTTTATTTCTAAGCATATCTTAGTGGACAGCGAACTTCAGTCACGCTATAAACTCAAAGCCAATGTGCAAAATCATCTATTCCTGTTAACCATTGCGTAATTTGAACCGAGGGGGCTGGGTACGTTAAGTATGAGGTGAGGATTCTGAGTGGGAATGAGCAAACCACACAAATCTTGATTTCACGAAAAGCGTTGTGCACCGAGGGTACCACTTCCATCTTTTGAGCTATTTAAACTCGTACCCCCCTTATAAATCGCGGCTTACTCTTTCTAATAATGTGGCACCTCCTCGATTTGAAATTAGGCAATTATTCATGACCTAATTGTCTAAGGGTGATCAAGGGAAAGGCACCATTTTTTTCAGTTTTCAAAAGTCCTGTTCTTTCTTTCTTTCTTTTATTTTTTTTGAAAGAGAAGGGAAGTAAATATAAAAACAACAAAAATTCATTAAGTAAGCAGAGTTTGATTTTACTTTTTCGTGGAAAAAGACAGTTCGGGGGGATTAATTGTGCCCACGCCTTGGCAAGCGTGGTCTATAACATAACAACGTAAAGCGTGCGCTATGATTGGTCAATTACTCATTTACTATTCGCCAAGGAGTTTATGCTGACGGAAGCGAGCGCCTGCTCAAAGCGCAGGTGGCCCAAGCGTAATATGAGAGTTTGTATGGGAAATAAAGAGGTTGCATGGGCTATAAAACGTACATCAAAGAAGGAATGACATAAAATGAGCAAAAGCTTTCATAAAGTATAAATATTGTTATCTGGTGTCGTTGTCTTTCGTTCCTTGAAGTTTCAGCGCGATTTGAGAAGTTTAACATCCATCTGACCAAACAGTGTAATAGTACAAGACGGAAAGGTTGGACAGAATCTTCCGATCGGCCATCAATCCTGCTCGAAAAAGGCTCCAGATTTCAGGTGAAAAATGCAACACACAAAGTGATGCCTCCAATTCAACTTTCAACAAGCTTCTGTCTTCTGACAGACCTTCCAACTCTCACGGTATTGGCTGTCAACTCTAGCCTCCAAATCTCACGGCGAATCAGAAAATCTTGAAATTTCTAAACTATTCCCTCAGGAATGAAGTAATATATAAATATATGTAAAAAAGTGTTTATAATAGCCGAATTGTGGAATTGTGTCATATCTCATTTCTGAGGAAAACGTGGGGTTAATTACAGTTTATCTATGTAAAACAAACTCAAAATGGCTGCTCGTTGTCCTCACCTCTGTAGAAAAACCAGCAAAAGAATACCGTAGAGAGCGATAATAAGACAGAGAATAACTGCGTGAGACAAATAATCTGCTTTTTATTTGACAGATTCTTTGGAAATCTCCTGGTTTGACGTCCTAATCTCCAGGTTTTTGGGGGCTTTTTTTGGAAAATCTCCAGATTTCCATTCTTTAGGGGTCAGCACGTCTGGACTTGACCACATAGCTCGATCGAAAAGATCCAACAAGAGTTTTAAGAAAATCGGCACCCGTTTGCGCGTGGTCGGGGAAAACGTAATTGTCGCGACATCTTCTTCGGCTGTTTTAGAGGCAATTTGGAAAAAATTTTACCGCGACATTGGGAAATAATCGAAGTTTAGGAGATTTGCGCTTTACACCGGTGCTTTGAGCTACAGTTGTACCAAATTAGGAATTCGTGATTTTGTGTCCAAGTTTGCGGAAAAAGTAGCTATAGAAGACAGCAGTCTGTTATTAATAAATGAACGATCAAAACCTCTAGTGTGTCATGTATTAGGTAGAGTTTGCAATTTAAAGTTTGCCAGCAAGATCTAATCGTTTAAATGAGCAAAATCTGTCATCCCTGAAATTAACGTCTTTTTTTATAAGAGGGCTCTTTTAGAATTCCGCTCAATGCGAAAAACACTACAGTCTACCAATTTTACCCCTCTGCAGTGCCAGCTCCTGAAGTTTTGTATCTGCGCTGAATTCCTGAACGCAAAATTGTGCGCAAATGTTGAGACTCCCGAAAGTGTCCCGACTAAAGCATGAGTTCCAAGCACAGGTAACCCAGGCTCTTTAATAGTACCGAAGTACGGTTCCAGTAAAATTACAGTGTTTGTATGGGTTGAAAATACGATCCTAACATTTCTAGGAAATACTAAATAAAGGTCAATGAAACTTACTCTGCAAATCACAGCTCGATGCTTTTTTTCACGCCTGAGCGAAAAGTGAAATCATTGGAAAACAAACTCTATAAAAATCAGCGAAAAACTCTTTAGACATGCGCGACTTCCTTTTATTCAAAAAGTCTTCAGACATGCGCGTATTACTTTACTAAAACGAAGGCAGAACAACTCATGTTTAAAAAAAATCAGTGAAGCAAAAATGTGGTTTACTTCTGAAACGAAGAAGCCTTTTTGTGAGCAGTGGCGAATCCTGGGGAGGGGCCAGGGGGCTCGGCCCCCCTCCCCCTTATTTTCAGACCAAACTGACAGTAGCTAGACCTGCACCGTTCTAAACCTCTTATTTCATAGGCCCCCTTTAATCTGCACTTCCATTGTTTTCGGGGATAGGGGAATTGTTACGTGACAATCCCTATCGTTTTCCAAGCTAATCAGAAACAATCTTTCAAATAGGTGCGGTATCGCCCCAAACTGAGGCCCGAAGGGCGGAAAAAAAAATTTGGAGCCCGGGCCCCCCCTTATCTCAGGGTCTGGTATTACCAAGTGGGCAGGGATAACTTTGAAGTTGGCATGAAACAAAGTTCGGCAAAATATACTGAACGAATGGGACTACCCTCCAACAGTTTTGATTTGCTCCTTCCTTTAATTTCAGTTAAATTGCCATTACAGCAAATCACCAGTACATAGCATTGCCAAGACGCAATTTACGATTTCATCGACCGTAACGAGGTAAACCTGGACATCGAGGTTGGAAATGTTCCTTAGATAACCATAGTCCCCGCCCCATCTTCAACCACATCAGATCCGGGAAATAATCACGACATTTTATTCAGACTTAGAGGCCGGTTTAAAAAAAGGGGGAAGGGAATAAACACGTATTGCGTACAACGCAAAATACTTGTTAGGGCAACTTTTTGGCAACTCCGTTGAACATTTAGCAGTGTTCATCACCGTTGCAGGGAAAAAATTGGCAGATGTAAAGAGCCAAAAAAAAGAAAAAAAAAACGTACAAATGCCGACAACAAAAGGTGTAGAATAGATAAGGGAAAGTAAAACTAGCTTATAAAACACAAACACACTGCTTAATAGCTTTCATGTATAGGTTTTTTTTTCCGATCACGACTTAAAAATTAGCACTGTGGCGGTCATTTTAAGAAGAATACATCGAGACTGAAAACACCCTTTCATCTTTAAAATCACACTGTTTGAGAGGTTTTCAGCCCTTTTTAATCAAAATTTCAATTAAAACGTTATTACAAAACATGCTAACAATCCATTGTTCTACAGCTCAGGTTCTACAGACAAGACAGCGACTTGCAAGATGTTAAGATCGTGTTTATGTAAATAATGAAATCAGCATCTTCAACTCGTCTGATTCTGACTGTTTCATTTCTTTCTGCTTACTTACAGAGTATCAATATTCAGCGATTCGAGCTCGTCCGACAACAACTCACAAACGAGTCGACTTATGGTCTGGTAGATAAGAAACATGAGTAAACGTTATTTAATTTTTTCTCCATAATACAATTAACCTCAACATTTGTCTTAAATTAAAAAACTTGATTTCAAACAAAAGCGACTGACTTCTCAATGACCCTAATATTGTTCAACATACTGGTATGACAAATTCTTCATCTGTGCTGTTTCTTGAGCTGGTTCGCCGTCTTTTAGCACCAGATCCAGTGTTACCAGATCCTACAAAGAGAATATAGCAGATAACATCATTAGTAAAACTCAAGTTTTCCTTACAACATAACTTTTCCTTTCAAAATAAATTTCTGAGGGCCACAGAATACAAACCTTTCCATGGGTGCATTCGAACTGCCTGATATGAACTTGGTTCGCCACAAGCTGCTCTCTCATCAGATTTTCTGTCTCTTCCAGGGCATACGCAGACCCTTATCTCAACAACTTGTCGACCAAGAGTCTGTCCATCCTTCTCCAAAGTAAAAATAACTTCGACTGGTCTTCTGCTAGGCCCAGAGGCACAGCTCGAGAAACACATAAACGCGAACATCTCCGTCACATATTCCGTTCCCACTACAAATAAGAAAATACTTAAATAAACATTTCAAAACACTTCCCTTCAGTGCAGTGACCTCTTATCTATATCATCCATATTAAGATCAGCTCCGGTTATCGCCGGTATAGACCTTGAGCTAAGTTAGTAGCCTTAGGTTATGAATCGGGCATATACTATACATAAAATTGTGTCTGCCCAGTTTATACCCTAGCAGTCTCAGCTGTAACCAATAAACAACAAAGTGGTAATTTGTAAAATACAAATCGGTCTAGTGCATGCAAACTATGCTCTTAATTTATATTTCGGTAATGACCTATCACTCTAAACCTCTGAGAACTTGAACTAAATTTCCTTTCTAAAACTGATTTCAATGTGTTCCTACGAGAGTGTAAGGTAATGCAGATGAAGAGGCCCTGGGTGTGGTCATGTCATCTTTTTTACCTTGTGGTCCATTGTATGGCAGTACCACAGAGTCCCTCATGGTCTCTGGACAGGTGTGGTAATCAGCGGCAGGGTTGTTGCTGCGGATAAACTGATCCTCTGGTGCAGACCCTACAGCAGAGGAAAACAGATATTTCTCTTTTTGAACTGACGCCAGTCACTTTAGAAATACGCCCTCATACAGCACCATAATCAACAAAAAAAGACGTGAACAACATTACGAACATTTCTCGGACATAGTTGTTATCTTACCATCATTAGAGCTTTCCATATGGTTTGGACACCTCTTCACCACATCATATAGGTTTGTGGACCCTTTGAAAACGGCAACGGCTCTCAGAATAGTGCCATGAGGTTGGGGCATGTTCGTCTTAAATTTGATGGGGCAGAAACTGGCCAGATTAACGTACAGCTTTTTGCACACATCAGAATAGGTCCATGTGGCAGATTTTGAAGCTGACTCGGTCAAAAGTCCAAAGGAAATCTGGAACCCGATATCACCAGGGTATTCTATTGTACTGGGAATAGTGGGCAGTCGGGAAACGACTCCAGACATGTTTGGAGGGGACATGGACGGGCCTGGGGTTGAAGCTTCACTGTAGCTGCTCACCTGTTGAGGGAAATGTACCTTTTCTTAAGCAACAACCTTGCTGTTCTAGAAAAGAGTCACAATTCCCTTGAAAAGACATCATAAAATGTTTTAGAAATTGGAACATACACTGTAATCTCCGGAGGGAAAATTGGCAGGGAGGGAAATCACCCCCAACAAACTTTTATATTGAAACAAACCCAACCATACGTACAGTGTAATTGGGAGAAAGGATCGCCACAGTTAGTTCGTGCGCGTCTTTCTGTGCAAGAGGCCCTAATAGGTGACCTTAAAATTTCGACTATCCGTGTAGCTGCCTTAAATATTCATGGCGTGGAGCACTGATGGGAAAAGAGGGGTAAAATTAGCACCCCACAAGGTTTGTTTGTCAGATGATAACTGGTTTGAGCTACCGACATAAAATAAAGAACCAATGAACACTTTAAGAGAGGAATATGAATTCTTTGTGGAAAAAATTATCAATATTTACTTACATTTTCAGAATGACTGGTAGTGATGGAGGAAATGGTTGCATTTCTATTCCCAAAGGCAATGCTCGGGGAGCATGATGTATGACCGATGCTATATGGGTGCGCAGGGGGAATGGAGTATGACGGCTGCGGACTGCTGGATGTTGACAACTCTGACGATGAGGTTATTACACCCTGGCCAAGAAAAACAAAAATAGACTTTTGTCAAAGTTCCTCTGAAAGGCTTTCCGTCTGAAAATTATCATTCGTGAATAAAAAAGTTCATTTCCAAAAATTTGAATTAATTTTGACCATACAAGTAATCCCAGAGTCAATCATCTGTAGACTTAAAATTCTGTTGAAAGACAATTTGAAATGAAATGTTGTTGGCTCGGTACCCTCGCAGACTGGCACTCTAGCTGAGTGCTTTTCAGTATTTAAAAAGAAACGAAGTACGTGAATTTTCTGATGTTTGCGTGGGGCATTCTTTAGAATAATGTGGCTGAACAAAAGCGATACATAGAGCGATTTTACATGACCCGTGAAACAGTTTTAAAATAAAAACTAGTGTAAAATAGCTACAAATAAACAAAGAATACTATAGAATTAGTGCATAATAGTGCGTAGTATTCTACAACCTGTTTCACGGGTTAAGTAAAATCACTCTATGGGTTATTGACCAAGCTTATTCTGTCAAGATGGCTGTATATTGGCCTCGTCCATTTTTGTGTTTTTATTAACCTTGACTTCGTCTCTTCCTGATGTTAAAGGTTGTTCTCCTTCGTCCTCAGAAGTTCTTAGAACCCTGCCAAGAAATAACAAAAATGATGGTTAACAGTTAGATGACAACAAACGTAGCTTAAACTACAAATAACAACACATAAAAACATTACCAAACGGGCATGTCTAACTTTGAAGTTGGCATGGAACGAGGTTCGGCAAATTATACAGAACGAATGGAACTACTCTTGAACAGTTTTGATTTGCTACTTGCTTTAATTTCAGTTAAACTGCCATTACAGCAAATCAGTACACAGTATTACCAAGACGCAATTTACGATTTTATCGACCGTAACGAGGTAAACTTGGACACAGAGGTTGGCAATGCTGCTTAGATAACCACACTCCCCAACCCATTCTAAACCACATCAGATTCGGGAAATAATCATGACATGTTATCCAAACTTAAAGGTCGGTAAATTCTTGATTTTAAATCCAAAAAAGGTAGTAAACACGTATTGCGTACAAGGTAAAACGCATGTTAGGACAAATTTTTGGTAGCTCCGTTTAACATTTAGCAATGTTAATCACCTTACATGAAAAAAAACTGGCAGATGTAAAGAGCAAAAACAATAATCAAACATGCCAACAATCCATTGTTCTACAGCTCAGGTTCTACAGACAAGAGACCGACTTTCTAGATCAGTAAAGGTCGTGTTTATGTACATATTGAAATCAGGATATCAAAATCTTCTGATTCTGACTGTTTCATTTCTTCTTGCTTACTTACAGAGTATCAATATCAAGCGATTCGAACATGTCCTCTAGCTTTTCTTTAAAGTCCAGCAACAACTCATACATGTGTCGATTTCTAAACTGGTACATAAGAAAAAAGAGTTAACGTTAGTTCATTTTTTTTCTCCATAATACCATTAACCTCAAGTTTTGTCTTAAATCACAAAACTTCACATTAAACAAAAGCGACTGACTTCCCAAGGACGCTAATATTGTTCAACTTACTGGTATGACAAATTCTTCATCTGTGCTAGTTCTTGAGCTAGTTCGCCTTCTTTTAGCACCAGATCCAGTGTTACCAGATCCTACAAAGAGAATATAGCAGATAACATCATTAGTAAAACTGAAGTTTTCCTTACAAAATAACTTTTCCTTTCAAAATATTTAGGTGCGAACTTTGTCACGTTAAAATTCTGAGGGCAACAGAATACAAACCTTTCCATGGGTGCATTCGAACTGCCTGAAATGAACTTGATTCGCGACAAGCTGCTCTCTCATCAGATTTTCTGTCTCGTCCAGGGCAGACGCAGACCCTTATCTCAACAACTCGTCGACCAAGAGTCTGTCCATCCTTCTCCAAAGTAAAAATAACTTCGACTGGTCTTCTGCTAGGCCCAGAGGCACAGCTCGAAAAACACATGAATGCGAACATCTCCGTCACATATTCCGTTCCCACTACAAATAAGAAAATACTTAAATAAATATTTTAAAACACTTCCCTTCAGTGCAGTGACCTCTTGTCGATATCATCCATATTAAGATCAGCTTGGATTATCGCCGGTATAGACCTTGAGCTAAGTTAGTAGACTTAGGTTATGAATTAGGCATATACTATACATAAAACTGTATATGCCCGGTTCTTACCCTAAGGAGTGTCACCTGTAACCAATAAACAACAAATTGGTAATTTGTGAAATACAAATCGGTCTAGTGGATGCAAACTATGCTCTTAATTTATACTTCGGTAATGACCTATAACTCTAAACCTCTGGGAACTTGAACTAAATTTCCTTTCTAAAACTGATTTCAATGTGTTCCTACGAGAGTGTAAGAAGAGGCCCTGGGTGTGGTCATGTCATCTTTCCTACCTTGTGGTCCATCGTATGGTAGTACCACAGAGTCCCTCATGGTCTCTGGACAGGTGTGGTAATCAGCGGCAGGGTTGTTGCTGCGGATAAACTGATCCTCTGGTGCAGACCCTACAGCAGAGGAAAACAGATATTTCTCTTTTTGAACTGACGCCAGTCACTTTACAAATGCGCCATCATACAGCACCATAATTAACAAGAAAGACGTGAACAACATTACGAACATTTCTCGGACATAGTTGTTATCTTACCATCGTTGGAGCTTTCCATATGGTTTGGACACCTCTTCACCACATCATATAGGTTTGTGGACCCTTTGAAAACGGCAACGGCTCTCAGAATAGTGCCATGAGGTGGGGGCATGGTCGTCTTAAATTTGATGGGGCAGAAACTGGCCAGATTAACGTACAGCTTTTTGCACACATCAGAATAGGTCCATGTGGCAGATTTTGAAGCTGACTCAGTCAAAAGTCCAAAGGAAATCTGGAACCCGATATCACCAGGGTATTCTATTGTACTGGGAAAAGTGGGCAGTCGGGAAACCACTCCAGACATGTTTGGAGGGGACATGAACGGGCCTGGAGTCGAAGCTTCACTGTAGCTGCTCACCTGTTGAGGGAAATGTACCTTTTCTTAAGCAACATCCTTGCTATTCTAGAAAAGAGTCACACTTCCCTTGAAAAGAGATCATAAAATCTTTTAGAAAATGGAACATACACTGTAATCTCCGGAGGGAAAATTGGCAGGGAGGGAAATCGCCCCCAACAAACTTTTATATTGAAACAAACCCAACAATACGTACAGTGTAATTGGGAGAAAGGATTGCCACAGTTAGTTCGTGCGCCTCTTTCTGTGCAAGAGGCCCTAATGGGTGACCTTAAAGTTTCGACTATCTGTGTAGCTGCCTTAAATATTCATGGCGTGAAGCACTGTTGAGAAAAGAGGGGTAAAATTAGCGCCCCATCAGGTTTGTTTGTCAGATGATATCTGGTTTGAACTACCGACGTGAAATAAAGAACCAATGAACCCTTTGAGAGAGGAATATGAATTCTTTGTGGAAAAAATTATCAATATTTACTTACATTTTCAGAATGACTGGTAGTGATGGAGGAAATGGTTGCATTTCTATTCCCAAAGGCAATGCTCGGGGAGCATGATGTATGACCGATGTTATATGGGTGCGCAGGGGGAATGGAGTATGATGGCTGCGGACTGCTGGATGTTGGCAACTCTGACGATGAGTGTATTACACCCTGGCCAAGAAAAACGAAAATAGACTTTTGTCAAAGTTCCTCTGAAAGGCTTTCCGTCTGAAAATTATCATTCGTGAATAAAAAAGTTCATATTCAAAAATTTATTAATTTTGACCATACAAGTAATCCAAGAGTCAATCATCTGTAGACTTAAAATTCTGTTGAAAGACAATTTGAAATGAAATGTTGTTGGCTCGGTACCCTCGCAGACTGGCACACTGACTGCTTTTCAGTATTTAAAAACAAACGAAGTACGTGAATTTTCTGATGTTTGCGTGGGGCATTCTTTAGAATAATGTGGATGAACAAAAGCGATACATAGAGCGATTTTACATGACCCGTGAAACAGCTTAAAAATAACAACTAGTTAACAAATAGATTCCATGTTGCCTTGCGTCTGTTTAGTAATAGATCACAGATGACGTCAAAATGTCGTAAAAACAAAAAAGTGGCACACGAGCCGCAGGCGAGTGTGTCACTGTTGACACATAAAGACCGATACACATACCTGCCTCGAACCGCTTGACCTTTTGAGGATTTGTGCTAGTTTAGGCATTTTTTAAGTCCCAAACCCAACTTTTCATCTTAGCTTCTTCTTTATCTTACTTGTGTACAGTTTCTTCGAAAAGTTTTTCACCGTCTTTTCTTGCTCAAAGAAGAATAATAGCGAAAACATTTTGCAAAACAGCGAGTCTGTCGTGGCGAAGACACACGATGCCAACTGTTGTGAAGATTTCTTGTAGTTTAGGCATTGTCAAGTAGTCAATAGCTTTTTTGGTCTCCGTTTCTCCATTTTTCTTCTTTGTAAATAACTCCTGCTAAACTTTTTCCCAAGCTTTCACTTGCCTCAATCCGAAATAATCTCACAAACATTTTCAAAACCGCGTGCCATGTTGAACAAAACAAAGAAAACAAGATTCCCGTGACGTCATCCATGTATCTGTACTCTAATAGATCATGGGCAACGACCAATCACAGCGCGCGTAGCATTCACATCATTGTATAATGTAAAATAGCTACTAATAAACAAAGAATACTATAGACTTTAGTGCACAATAGTGCGTAGTGTTCTACTACCTATTTCACGGGTTAAGTAAAATCACTCTATGGGTTATTGACCAAGCTTGTTCGGTCAAGACGGCTGTACATTGGCCTCGTTCATTTTTGCGTTTTTATTAACCTTGACTTCGTCTCTTCCTGATGTTAAAGGTTGTTCTCCTTCGTCCTCAGAAGTTCTTAGAACCCTGCCAAGAAATAACAAAAATGATGGTTAACAGTTATGTGACAATGAACGTAGCTAACACTACAAATAACAACACATAAAAACATTACCAAGCGGGCAGTTCTAACTTTGAAGTTGGCATGGAAAGAGGTTCGGCAAATTATACA